CAGCGCCCACCAGGACGTAGCCGGGCGGGGCCTGCACCATGGCCTTCAGCTCGCTGCCCACTCGGTCGGGCTGCAGGAAGAGACACCCCTTGAGACACCTACCCACTCCGGCCAGGGCCGCGGTGTAGCAGCAACAGGCTGGCAGGTAAGGGCCTCCCCACCCTGCGCCGGCCCCGTTAAACCACCACGGCTGCCGCCCTCACGCCTGGTCAGTATCTGGCCGGCAGCAGGTGCCAGAACATGCGCGTTTCCTGAAAATGGCTGACCTGAGAAGCTAGATAAGAACCCAAGTCCCGCCTGACCCCGATCTCGGGGTCCTTTTCCTGACCCTCACTGAAGGCCCTTGCAACCCCCGTTTCTAGCCACATCGGAGGGGACGGGCAGGGACCAGGGCGCAGGGGACACATACCCGGGCGTTGCTGGCGGTGAGCCACGTGGGCTCCACGGCCCGGCGGGTGATGGTGCCGGCCGTCACCACCTGGGGCAGGATGGCCCCGTAGCGGTTTTCCTCATCGTAATCTGGGTGCCTGGGGGCAGGGGAGAGCACGGGCCTCAGCAGCCTGCTTTGGTCCTAGGACCGCCCGCCTCCACTCCTGTCCCCCCACCACTGGGCAGGCCATACCTGGTCACAGCACGGGGCAGAGCCGACCTGGGCAGCCACACCACCATCTGGGAGCTGGCGGACAGACAGGCCGAGGCTCAGCACGGCCCCCGGGGCAGAACCCAGCCTTCCCACGGGGCCCTCACTGCCCACTTCAGGCTGCTCGCTGTGCCTGCTCCTGCCCAGCCTCCATCCTCTTCCACTGACCTGGCTCAGGGTGGCCCCGGGTGCGGCCACCTGGGGCCCTAGAATCTACCAGGCAGGAGCCTGTGCCATCTGAGAGCCGGCCAGCAGCCTCTGCCCTCATCCCAGAGCACCCGTGCAGCGCCCACCCGCAGCCCGGTCCACGCTCAGGGCAGACACAAGCCATCAGCACACTTCCCGCCCTGGGCTCCCACCTGGACCCGGCCTTCAAGGTGAATCCATTTAGCATGCCCAGGCCCCAGCAGAGGACAGCCCTGGTGCTCAGCAGTTACACCGAGGGGTCCTTTTAGAGCTGGGGGGTGGGGGGGGGTATCGGGGTCCTACAGTACCATCCTCTATATAAACAGGGCAGCTGAGGCTGGAGAGGGAGGGGGGCTTGCCTGTGGACACACGGCACCGGGACTACAAGTAGCCAGGCCTCCAGACCACAGCGGGGCCCTGGGGGAGGCGGGGAGGGAGCCCAGGCTGCAGGAACCTGCCAGGGGCAGATGGGCACGTCCGTCCCCCGCGGTGCCCACCTGATCCGTTTGTGGGCATTCCTCCAGAAAGAAATCATCTTGTTGATTTCCAAGGCCCGGGGCCCGCTGGCGCCTCCCGGGCCCGCCTGCAGGGTGCCGTCCTCCATCTTGGGCAGGAAGTCCTTGGCGAAGGGGCTGCCCACGTTGCAGCTGTTGCCGTCCTGCGGGCAATGGAAGCAGGGGCTGGAGGCAGGTGGCAGGCCCTGGCCGGGGCGCCGGTGCCCGGAGCCTGGAGCAGAGCAGCAGGGGCAAGCCCACCCCGACGGCCGCACAGGCAGGCACTGAAGACAGCAAATCTGGCCCCTTCGCAGGAGCAGCCATCACTCAACACCCATCGTGGAGCAGACTCAGTGCCAGCACCTGGCATGTCCTTGCCCGCCGTTTCCACGGGAACACCGGCTCCGATGGTGCTATCTGTCCCGAGAGCACGCTGGGCCCCAGCACTGCCACTGCCGCTCCTGTGAGGGGGCGGTCTCGCGGGCTGAGCCACGCAGGCCTGCCGGGAGCCCTGAGCGCCACGAGGACACAGGCACGAACCAGGACACCCACCTTGTGCGGCAGCTTGAAGAACCAGCAGCCGGGGATGTCCACGTCGTGGTAGGGTCCGTTGCCGTGGTGATAGGCTGGCTGGCTGGCTGTGGGGCCGCCAGCCCCAGTCTGTGGGGCCACACACCTAGATCAGGCCCTGCCCAGCGCCTGCACTCAGCGTGGGCCGGGGGTAGCCGGGGGGTGGGAAAGGGGCCGGGATCACTGAGCAGGTGAGCTGGGAAGGGGCAGGCCGGCCACCAGGTCTCCGGCTTCCTCCTGGGCCTTCCCACAAGTGTGGGGCCACCAAAGGCAGGCACCTCCCAACCCCCAGGACCTTGGGGTGCTGGTGGAGAGCTGCTAAGGGCGTAAGGAGGTCCCGGCCGCCAGTACCCCCACCCCCACCGCCCAGGAACTGAGCACGCGCCTTGCTCACCAGAGCTGGGGGCTGGCCCGGAACTGCCGCCTCCGAGCTGTCCGTCTTGGTCTCATCCTGCACCTCTAAGCAGCCCAGCTCTTCCACCTGGATGGGCCCAGGTACCAAGGGAGTGAAGCAGGAGGCTGGTCAGCCGGACTCCACCAGCCCCTCCCT